CGAACTCGAACTCGAACCGGTCCACCCCCCCCCGGCTCGATAATTGTGTGTCGATCCGAACTCGATCTCGAACTCGAACTCGAACTGGTCCACCCCCCTCTCGCTCGATCCACGCAATCTCGCGCATCGAACTCGAACTTGAACTCGAACTCGAACGGGATCAGTTAGAACTACCTGGGGCACGGCCTGACTTTTTGCTTGGGGTCATCAAACTCATACTACCTCTAGCTTCCAGCGCTTGAAAAAAAAAGGTAGTTTGAGGTTCACACCCGCAATTCCTACTTTCACTATCTGGCAAGCAAAACGCCTAAATCTACTATATATCAATCACTTTGAGGAATTATGCGCCTCAGCCATTTGAATCCTTTTTACCGCTGGGCCCGTTGGGCCCGTGTGCTTTGGGTGGAGGACAGCATCCATCATGCATTGTTGGCAGTGTCTTTGATCTCATTGATCCAAGTCCTTGGATGGGAAGACCGGCCAGGACCATGGATTTCAGGAAATGGTTCGAAGATGTTCGAAGGCTAGATCAACTTGAATGTTTGCATGCACATGCATGGCGGGGTCTCCATGGTCTGTTGCAGGTGATGGCTGTGCAGCATGAGGTCAGCCCAGCTCTGCACTACTTGTGCGATTCACGTACAGATTGAACACATTTGAACACCACTCGATCTATGTGTGCGTTTGAAAGAAATCCGCGTACAGATTGAATACCACTCGATCCGTGTATGATGTAGATCGATTTGGCTCCTAGCTTTTCAGCACACCTGGGGTGATGACCACAGAGCTAGCCAAAAAATGGGAAGCAGTCACGGAACTGCGCCGGCGGTCGAAGACTTTTGGTTTGGTGGGCCCCTTATTTGTCCTCAATGCTTTCCATGTTTGCCCATGCCAGGGGCTTCACACACCACCGCCTGCCCAGGTCCAAACCACCGGCAAAACGGTTTGCCGAGACACTCTGGTGAAGAACCACACGGTCCTGTACCATGCAGTGCAAGAACTTGGTTTTAAGGTAGCTGTCGAGACACTTGCTGTTCACATCGAAAGCTTCTACACTTATTGCGGAGTGGAGAAAGTTGGACACTTGCATGCATGAAATATACTGCGGGTGTGAACCTCAAATTACCTTTCTTGTCAAACTCTGGAAGCTGGAGGAGCTTTAGGGTGAGCCAACCTGGAATGTACCCTACCATCACTTGTGCCCAGGAGATTGTCATTCGCAAGCATGGACGCTTCGCAGATGCCTGACGATCTTCAACAGCATTCTTCGTCGTCCATACTGGCCTCGGGAACCCCAGATTCAAGATCTGATCTCCAAGCTTGGATTGAAACTACCTCCCAAACAAGTCCAAGATTGCGATGAGGATGAGGATTTTAATGAGGAAGAGATAGAGAGTGAGGAAGAAACGGACGATGAAGAGGTTGAGATTTGTGTCCCTCATGACACTGCTAGTTCTTAAGCCTTATTATTTTCAGTGAAGCGGCAACTCCAAGCATGTTCCAACTTCCGCTTGGCTGCCAAGGTTCTGTCCCAGCCAAGAAGGAGAATGTCATCACTGCAGCACCTGCAGAGGCTGGCCAAATGGAGATTCACCACATGAAGACTATAGAGGTCAAAAGGCCTTTGTTGGTATACAAGTCCATTGCCAGGGCCCTATTCCAGAAGAACCACATCATTCCATGGCAAGCTTTGCATCAGCTGACAAGGCAAGGGAATAGGTATTAGGTATGGCCATCCATATCCACCCTGGACACATGCCAGGATCCAGCACGGCTTCGTGATGAACAGCCTACACCTCCAACTGCAGTTGAGAAGGCTTCACAGGGTGTTGCAGTCACTGCCCCAAACAATTGCCTCCCTTAGACCCCTGTTCGCTCCACAACTTCAATTCCTAGCTGTTGTACGTTGATTCACTTTGTAGCTGAAAAATTGTTAACACTTGACAGGTGGGTGAGGACAAGGCCATGGAGGAAGGTCCCCTTGCCGTTGAGAAGGCGTGGCTCTGATATAACGCAGAATGCAGTACACGATATATGGCATATGCATGTGCAATGGCCACTGTTCAGAACAGTGGCCATAGGGTGTGTTATGGCCACTGTTGCTGAAGGCTTCACCGGGAGACCAACGCGAAGATCTGGTCACACCAAAGGCTAGATCATTTAGGCTAGGCAAGTGGCTTCATCCTAGATCGAGCTGTCAACGCAGGCCAGCCTCGGGCCGAAGCTGTTGAGCTTTGACCTCAGCATTGAACTGCATGCTTAAGGCAAATTGATTTCGCACCCTAGGAGATGGTCCATATGAAACTCCACCCAAAGAGGCCTAGTATGTGCATCTCATGCACGAATGTTTAACCACTGCTGGCGCTGGTCAGGTTGAGAAAAAGAAGGATGAACTTGCTGAGCTACTCAAGCTGACTGAACTTTTGGAGTTGCAAGCCAACCTTGCTAAGCTGGAGCAGCAGAAACTAGCGGTTCCTTTGCGAGGCAGTCTCTAGATTGCATGTACTAGCTAACAGGCTAGCCAACGCGAAGTGCATTCCTGTTTGGGATACTCCCAAAACTGACCCCAGCTAGAACATCAAGCAAACACCATATTTGGACGTTCAGCTTGTTTAGGGCGCTGGGGTCAGATTTGGGTGCCTCCCAAGTGGAAACTGTGAAAGGGGTTGATGAGTTGTTTTTATTAAGGCAAAAGCTTTGTCGACAATTTGGAGACCCAGCCATATGATGCGGAATCTGCGATGGTGGGATTGACCCTGCCCAGTCCAGCGCCCACTGAGCCCAAGAGATTGGAACCATTTTGTAGGTGTCCCACTTTGGTGCTTGGTGAGACCCCCCGGGAGTGCACATGTGGGTGTGCGTCGCAGCCTCAGGCCAAAACGCCATGCCCAACCCTCCCTTCTGCAACCCCAGAGGCACCAACCAGCTTACAGCAGAAACCTTCAGACCTCCCTTCCGCAACCCCAGAGGCACCAACCAGCTTACAGCATAAACCTGCAGACCTCCCTTCCGCAACCGCAGAGGCACCAACCAGATTTCAGCGTGCGAAGACAGTGCTATACACTAATCAGCCTGCAAACCCGCCTTCTAGAAGCCGAGTGTTTG